TTATTTTTTTCCTTTGTTGCTTGTGCTTTTGGGGTCATATCCATAAAGTCTTTTCCCAGTCCTACATCCTGAAGTCTTTCCCCTATGTTTTCATATAGGAGTTTTATAGTTTCAGGTCTTATACTTAAGTCTTTAATCGATTTTGAATCGGTTTTGGTATATTCTTCTACATGTGGATATCCAGTTTTCTCAGCACCATTTACTGAAAAGGCTGTCCTTTCCCCAGTGTATGTTCTTGGTGCCCTTTTTTTGAAAATGATCAACTGCAATTCATCCCAGATATGGAGGATGGTTCAACATATATAAATCAATAAATGTGATACAACACACCAAAAAAAGCAAGGACAAAAACACGATTATTTCAATAGTCACAGAAAAAGCATTTCACAAAATTCAGTGTCATTTCATGATAAAGACCCTCAACTAATTATGTATAGAAGGAAAATATCTAAATACAACAAAAGCCACATATGACAAATCCACTGCCAACATCATCCTGAATGGGGAAAAGCTGAAAGTTTTTCCTTTAAGAATAGGAACAAGACAAGGATGCCCACTCTCATCACTCCTATTCAGCATAGTATTGGAAGTATTAGCCAGAGTAATCAGGCAACAGACAGAAATAAAGGGCACCCAAATTGGAAAAGATGAAGTCAAATTGTTCCTGTTCACAAATAACATGATTGTACATATAGAAAAACCCATAACTTCTTCCAAAAAATTAGTAGAGCTCATAAACAAATTCAGTAATGTTGCAGATACAAAATCAATACAAAAAAAATCATAGCATTCTTATACACTAACAATGAACAAGCAGGAGAAGAAATCAAGAAAGCAAGCCCATTTACAATAGCTACCAAAATAATAAAATACCTAGGAATAAATAAATTTAACCAAAGAGGTAAAAGATTTCTACAATAAGAACTACAAAGCACTACTGAGAGAAATTAAAGAGGATGCAAAANGATGGAAAGACATTCCTTGTTCATGGATTGGAAGAATTAACATTGTGAAAATGTCCATTCTACCCAAAGCAATTGACAGATTCAATTTAATCTCCATCGAAATACAAATAACATTCTTCACAGAAATAGAAAAAAATAATACTAAAATTCATATGGAACAACAAAAGACCTCAAATAGGCAAAACAATCCTGAACAAATAAATAAAAATAAAATTGGAGGCATTGCATTACCTGGCTTCAAACTATATTACAAAGTTGTAGTAACCAAAACAGCATGGTACTGGCATATAAACAGACACAGGGACCAACGGAACAGAATTGAGAATGCAGAAGTCAACACATGTACTTATAGCTAACTATTTCCAATTTAACAAATTCCTTAATCTTTTCCACTTCTTTAGGAAGAATATTTATCATGATGTCACTTAAAATCTATTTTCCTGTCATAGCTATTTTAGTTTCCTGTGTTGACTAAAAAAAAAGAAAATCCGGGCCGGCCCTGTGGCTCACTCGGGAGAGTGCGGTGCTGATAAAAAAAAAGAAAATCCTATTTTATGATCAGATATATGGTGTCTCAAAAGTTTCTTAAAGTGATAAGATAAGATACTATGTCCTCAGAAACCTCTATTATGTTTTTCTCTTCTATGTCCGTTTTTGTTATATACTCACAAAATTGGGTTAGTCAGCCCTTTCTGCATCGACCTTTTTCCATGCAACTGCACTGTTTTATTTCCCATACAGTTCAATTTTTTTAATTGATATTTGTTAATTGACCACATATGGTTCATTGTGATACATCTGGGCACAAATTTGAAAAAAAAAAATCATCCATGTCTTTGAGAAATCTTCAGTATAGTGACAGTGATGAACAAGTACATCGCTAATCTAAAGTGTTAATAAATAAGATACAAGCAACTTTTTTTGTTTCTCCTTTTTTACTCCATGGTACTAATTTACCTGGTCAGCACAAATTTATCAACTATACTATGTATCCATTCCTGGCATGGAGACAGCAGTGAATAAAGTAAATATATTCTCTGCTCTTTAGAATTTTCTGGGCTAGTGAGAAAAAGATGTAAGTAAATAATTACACTTACTTTCTTAAATGCTTATGAATACCCCATGTGCTATAAAATGAAAGAAAACAACAGATATTAAATCAATAATTATTTAAATCAATTAAGTTTTAGCCAATAGACTACAAAATGCAAATACTTGCTTGCCCATAATGCTATTTCTGATTGAGCTTTTGCCTTTAAAGTTAACACATTTATTCTGAAATATTTTTCAATCTTATTGAAAAGTTTTATTTTTATTAATATTGATTACCTTATGAATATAAAACTACCTGGCTTCATCCTATTAATTTTTTTTTTTAAACCAACTTGGTGATTTTTATTGACGGGTGACAACTTTATACTCCTAAATACCACTAAACTGTGTACAATAAGGGACACAGCATTACAGA